CCCCGGGCTGTAGCGCGCCCCCCCCCCCCCCCCAACCGTACCTGCGTGACTTTCTCGGTGACGTTCTGCGTGCGCTCCGTCACCTTGTGGGGCGCGATGATCTCGATCTCGGTGGTGGAGCCCGAGCGGTGCTTCTCCAGGTTGAACTCCACAAAGTTGAGGGTGAACTGCGGGATCTGGCTGATGGTGCGGTACCTCATGAGGTCGGAGTCCGAGGTGGAGTTCTGGGGGTTGGGCTTGGCTTGGGAGGCCTCTGGAACAAACCCAGGCAGGAGAGACACGCTCAGTGGGGCGCGATGATCTCGATCTCGGTGGTGGAGCCCGAGCGGTGCTTCTCCAGGTTGAACTCCACAAAGTTGAGGGTGAACTGCGGGATCTGGCTGATGGTGCGGTACCTCATGAGGTCGGAGTCCGAGGTGGAGTTCTGGGGGTTGGGCTTGGCTTGGGAGGCCTCTGGAACAAACCCAGGCAGGAGAGACACGCTCAGGAGAGTGACACACAGGGTACGTCTAGACCACATGGCTCCGTCGACGGAGCCATGTAGAGTTGTTTGTTCGGCAAAGGGAAATGAAGCCGTGATTTAAATAATCGTGGCTTCATTTAAATTTAAATGGCTGCCCCGCTCTGCCGATCAGCTGTTTGTTGGCAGATCGGGACAGTCTGGACGCTCCCCTGCTGTTTATCAACCTCCCCGGTAAACCTCATCCTACGAGGCATAACGGGGAGGTTGATAAAGGGCTTTCAGGTTGGCACGGGAGCGTCCAGACTAGCACGCTGAGCCGACACACAGCTGATCAGCTGTTTGTCGACTCAGCGCGGCGGCCATTTAAATTTAAATGAAGCCGCGATAATTTAAATCGCGGCTTCATTTCCCATTGCCAATCAATGGAGCCATGTAGTTTAGACACACCCAAACTGATTAACCATCAGCGTCCTAGTCCCTGTGGACAAGGTAGCCCAGGATGAGCCGCGGGAGAGAAGCTGTCTGGAGACACATGCTATTTCGACAGGCCCGTTTCGCATGGGCCAAAATTCCCCAAAGCCACTAGTGATCTTGGGGGCACATGGAAGGGGCTTGGTTTTCAGAAAGAGCCCCTCAAAACCAATCCCCTTTCAGGCGTCTCGAGATTGGCACCAAAAAACAGCAGCACCTGAATCCCTAGTCACTGCAAAAGCATCTTGCCAATCAGCCTCAATCCTGGTAGCTACTCGCCACCTATCGGTGGTGGCAGGGTACGAACGTCAGCAGCATCCAAAAACTGTGTGGAAGCCCCTACAATGACAGATAGGGCCCCTCAGGCCACAGGCGTCCACTGGCAAGACTCCTGAAGCTGTTTTTACCTCACCTGCTCCCACCCTCTGAGCTGGGTTGGTCATTAGTCCTGACTTCTCAAACTAGCAGCTCCTAGAGGGACGGGGAGCAGAGTCCGGCTTTGGTAGGGCGAAGACATCACCGCTGGATTTCTACGATTTGGCCCCAAAGCCGGACGGCATCCCATCCGATCCAACTCAATGGGCCAGGGCAGGGTTGGTCCCGGTGGGGCAGTGTCTCTCAACCCTTTTTTATAAAATACCCCCTTTTCAGAAAAAAATTATAACTACCCCCAGTACCTACAGTTTTCAGACACACATTTTTTTTCTACCATTGCAACACATTTGTTTAAACAACTTAATTGTAGCCAGGCGGGTGCTGAAATTTTGGGGTGTAAAAAGTACAAAAATAATAAAATGCTGTAAAACTTAAAACAAAAATACTGTTCTCTCCAAATTTCAGTTGTGTTGACGTACCCGCCCAGACTTCTCAAGTACCCCTAAGGGGACTCCTACCGCTGGTTGAGAAGTACCCCTAAGGGGACTCCTACGGCTGTGGGGGTATGTTCTAGTGTTCTTCCAGACTTGTTTAATGTTCCAGACCTCTGGGACCTGATTCCCCAGCCCAGTAGATCTCACCAGCAGGACATATTTCCGAAAGCACCCTCAATTTTTCAAATATAAACACGTCCTTCCAGGGGCAGCCCGTGAGCCTAGGCAGTTGCCTAGGGTGCCGCCGGCCCGGGCGCCTGATAATGACATCGCGCCCTGTGATTATGTCACGGTCATTGACAGCCGAACAGGCGGGGGCGCTGATCGTGCCTTCCACCTAGGACGCCAGCTGCCGCAGCCGACCTCAGGCTGCTCCTGCGTCCTTCATTCCATCCCCTGTTCTCCACTGTGAGCCTTATTTGTCTCTCTCCTCGCCTTGCAACCTTTCAGTATCTGTGGACTCTCGTGTTCCTCTGCCCGACTGTGGCTGAGCCAAGCGGCAGATACGTACCTTGTTCCATTTTGGTTGGATATGAGGAAAAAATATTTCCCTAGGAGGGGGGTGAAGCACTGGGATGGGATCCCTAGGGTGGGGTGGAATCTCCATCCTTAAAGTTTTTAAGGCCCTGGGTGGGATGGTTTAGCTGGGGTTGGTCCTGCTTTGGGCAGGGGTTGGACTCAATGACCTCCTGAGGTCTCGTCCAGCCCTAGGATTCTATTATTCTAATTTTTCCTCCTCAAACGATCCGTCCAACCACTGAGTTGGCAAAACGTGGTGGCCATTTTTATGCAAATTAGGCACGAGATATTTAAATCCCTGCCTCATTTGCAATGTTGCCCTGCCTAAATCTGCATCCCTCTGCCAACAGAGGGATGCAGTCTAGACATACCCCTTCTGTGAGGAGCTTTTTGAACATGCCCAGCACACGGAGGGCCTGTCGGGCATTGAGCTCCTGGACAGGCTAGATGCAGATCTCTCTAGACGGGGGGCTCTTGAGTGCATCTTTTTGGGGTCTCAGTGGGAACAGAGCCCTTCAGAAGAGCCAGCTACAATTATGGGTGCTGAACACTGGAAAATCGAGCGACTGAAAACTTAGGTCCAAGGCCCTGTCTCAGCATTCCTGGATTGTTTCTCTGTCCTCGCTGCAGGTCTGTAGTGGAGCCGGCTGGACATTTTTTGGAGCAGAAAATGCCAGTTTGCCAAATCCAAAACTCACTGCAGAAATGTGCCAGCCTCGGGCAGCACTGTGCTCCAGGATGGCACTTCTGGTCCAACGGTGAGAGACCCATATCAGGGGTCCGGGCACACACCTGGCACGTGGAGGACCCAGTGTCAAGACCCTGCTCCGAGTCAGCTGCCAGCCGAGTGCCCGAACCACAGAGCTATTGGCTACGTCGGCGCGGCTCTCTCCCATTTGCTTTAAATCTCAAAACCTCAACCTTGTTCAAGCACTGGAGCTCTTGTTTTTCCACCAGCCCTGGTGTGCAGTGTCCCCCAACTCAGTATCCGCTGCAAAGGTCAGTGGCTCGCTGGGGCAGGATGGGGTTTCCGGATTAAATATGTGGGCCCGAACATGAAGCTTCTACGTACTATCTCGACTGCAGCCACGAATCTGAACTGACCTCTCCCTCTTTGGGAGCTGAGGGCCAGGAATCAGGCAAGAACCCGGCAGGGTTTGGGGATGGCAGATTTATAATGCAGACAAAGACAGGTTCACTCAGAAACTTTCACACACAGGCCTCCATCACCAAAGGCACACAGGTGCCTAACTCCCCTAGACTCCAATGATTTCAGCTCCCATTGGTGGCAGCTCCCATTGGTCTCATTTCAGGATCCGGGCTGTAGAGAGACAGCCAGATCTACAGCTGAGATACATTCGGAGACCCGCCCACCCGGCACGTGGAAATGTACCGGAGTCAGTTTGTGCCCTAGGAGACACACTCCTCATTGCTGCTTCATTTGGGAGAAGGCAACAGAGGGTGAAAACCTGCCCCGAACAGGTGAGAGGAGGGCCGGCCTGCTGGAAGAGCTCTGTGCCGCCTCCCCATTGGTAGCGACATGTCTGCCGGTGCTGTTCCCTACCTGAGTTTGCCCTCCTCTCCCTGAATTTTCTCTGGAACTCAGACCCGGTGACCTCAAAGTTGTCCAAGGAGGAGACCCTGCGGAGGCTGTGGAAGCTGCCCCCCGGGCGAGCCCGAACCAAGCCCCAAGCAGCGTAGGACCCCGGTGGGCCCAGGAAGGGAGGCTCTCGTTTCGGGGACGAGTGATGCACGGTGGGGACGGGCTCCAGGCTCGGCCGCCTCTCCTTTTCCAGGAGGGACTCGGTCTCTGACTGGACACAGTTCTCCTTGGCAGGAGTCTTCAAGTCCCTCAGAATCAGGGAGTCGCCCCTGGGCTTTAAGACAGCCAGGAGAAAGCGTGTGGTTAGGAGGCGCCCTGGAATGCTGAGGTGGGAGGGGAGGAGGGTCGGGAAAGAGGGAGGACGGAGGGCTGGGGTAGCGCTGCTGTGTCACGGGTTAAACACCGGCTGGGACCGGAACTGAGCATGGCTATGGAATCCCACCAGCCCTGACAGCCTGCGAGGCCCCCGGTGCCCACCAACAGAGTCCTGGGGTGGCGTGTGACGTGTTGCTGAGCCGCTAGCAGATAGGGAAGCAGGAGGAAAGAGGCAGACCCAGAGGTGGATTTATCTGGCGCACAGGCCACGAGGTGGCTTCTGTTCACAGTGATTCTAGGACCCCAGGAAGCTACATGCTCCCTTCCCTCTCCCCACTGCCTGCTGAGGGTGGGTCCATATAGTGACTCCTTCACCCGTGGTTGACAGACGATGCCTAATCCATGCCAGAGAGCAAGACCATGCCACTGGGGGCGCTGCTGCTATTCTCAGGCTTTCCTCTCCCACCCTCTCCACAGTGCCTGCGCATCTCAGTCCTCTGGAAACTGAGCAGAGGCCTCCTGACTTAAGAGACTCCTGCAGTGACAAGCCTGAGACACAACCACCCCTTGCATGAAACGCACGCTGCATGAAATCCCAGAGCCCCAGCAGGCTCACGTTGCTGCACATGTGCCTAACAGAGACCAGGCCCCGAAGGGGTACAGCGTTTCCCACTGCCAGCCAGGATAAAAAGCTCACATTGCACATTTCAGGCTGCCCCTGGGCTTGGGCTCCCAGAAATACAGTGCTGGTCTGTGACTCTTCTGAGGGAAACCAGCCCCGCTCCACCTCACTCCGAACACCCTGCCAAAGCGCTGGCACTAGCTCAGCTCTGCTTTGTCCCCAGAGGCTCTGCAGGCTGCTGCTGGCCTCCGTCTATCAACAGGCTGCTCCTCCAAGATCTTCACTCAGCTTCTGATGGAGCTGTGCTTTTCTTCTGAGGCTCGCAGCCTCCTCTGAAAATGAACCCTGGAGATCTGAATGTTATTACCCCCCACTCTTTTGCTACTGGCCACTTTGCTCTTGCTAAGCAGCTATCACTCCGGTAAGACACCACTCAAGGCAACAGAAAGTCAGCTTGTCCTGGGAGCACTTGGCGACACTCCAGATAGTCTATGTTTGACAGCCCAGCAAGTACGTTCTACCTGTATGTCCCTACAGCCTTTGACAGCCCAGCAGGTACGTTCTACCTGTACGTCCCTAGGGCCTTCGACAGCCCAGCAGGACGTTCTACCTGTATGTCCCTACAGCCTTTGACAGCCCAGCAGGTACGTTCTACCTGTACGTCCCTAGGGCCTTCGACAGCCCAGCAGGACGTTCTACCTGTATGTCCCTACAGCCTTTGACAGCCCAGCAGGTACGTTCTACCTGTACGTCCCTAGGGCCTTCGACAGCCCAGCAGGACGTTCTACCTGTATGTCCCTACAGCCTTTGACAGCCTTACAGGTATGTTCTACCTGAATCTCCCTAGGGCTCTCAGCAGCACAACAGGTGCCTTTTACCCAAATGAATCTATACCATCAGTCAGCACAGCTGCTGTATTTTATCTTGACATACCAAGTATTCTTCAAAAGTGACGAGGAGTCCTGTGGCACCTTATAGACTAACTGAAGTGTAGGAGCATAAGCTTTCGTGGGCAAAAGCTTATGCTCCTACACTTCAGTTAGTCTATAAGGTGCCACAGGACTCCTCGTCACTTTTGCAGATTCAGACTAACACGGCTACTCCTCTGATACTTGACAAGTATTCTTGACAGCCCACCAAGCACCTTGTACCTGGACATACATAAAACATTTTGCAGCACAGCAGATGCCTTCTGCCTGGCTGAACTTAGAACATTTGGCAACATGGGTGCCCTTGTACATGGACATGCCTGGAACATTCAAAAGCACAGCAGGTGCTTTCTACCTAGATATACCTAGAACTTTTGGTAGCACAGAAAATTCCTTCCACTTAGATGTCCTAGAATATTTGGTAGCATAGCAGGAGCCTTCTATCTATATGTACCTAGAACATTTGGTAGTAGAGAATGTGCCTTCTATGTAGATGTACCTAGAACATTTGATATCACAGAAAGAGCCTTCTATGTAGATGTACCTAGAACATTTGATAGTAGAGCGCGTTCCTTCTATGTAGATGTACCTAGAACATTTGATAGCACAGAAAGAGCCTTCTATCTAGATATACCTAGAATATTTGGTAGCACAGAAAGTGCCTTCTATCTAGCTATATCTAGAATATTTAGCTGCACAGCATGTGCTTGCTACCTATGCATAACTGGAACATTTGTAGTAGCCAAGAGGATAATGAGAACAGCAATCTCTTCTTAAGTTCTAACATTAAGAAGCCAATAACCTTTTCCCTCTCCCATTAAGTTGATGAAGCCATCATTGTTGCAGGCCCTCATGCACAGGAACAACGTAATCTTTGTTGGCCCAATAGCAGGGAAGAGACGAGCAAGATGACTTGTTAGAATGTATTTGGAATCCGGAGCCCATGATAATGCATGAAGGCGGCACGGGGACTGGCAGGAAAATTTTAAGAAATGTGTCATTTCAAGGAAAACTTGCACCAAAATTCTGGGGTTTAACTCATTGATTTATACCAGATTCATGTAGCTCCCAGTGAAGCCATCTCAAACCAGCACAATGTCCCTTCTTAGGAGCGGTATATCTGTGCCGTCCTTCCAGGCTTTCTTCCTAGCTGAGGAGTTCTAGAATCAGTTAGGACTTTCTTTGTTGAGGTTACCCCTCAACCTTAATCCAAGCCCCCTGCAGGTTTCAAAAGCCATGCCTATCACTGCACGGTCTGTTGCCAGCCACGGGGTGTGTGTGCATGCACATGGGGTGTGTGTGTGTGTATGTGGACCCACTTCTTTCTCCCAGCTGGAAACAGCTGTTCAACTGTGCACCACGGGCTACATACGGCCACCAAGAGATGGGAATTCTCCTTTAGTTCCAGTGGTGAGGACTGGAGCTCTTCATGCAGGACCAGGGAAGTTCTGAGCAACAAAGGCAACGACCACAAAGTCTCTACCTCGCCAAAGCTTTGGCTCAGTGTTTAACCATTAAAAGAAAGACGCTAAATCCAGACACCGCACCAGCCACAGCAGCTACCGAAAGGGACGGGTGGGGGAGAGCCAAGGAAGGGCACTGGGTCCTGGCCTAAGGTATCAGCTTATAGTGTACAAAGTCTATGGTTACCTTTCCATAGTCAATGGCTACTCCATCAAACTCACTGGTGGGCAGAGATTTCCGCTGGATTTTGAGTCGCTGCAGGGACGGGAGACTAAACTTCAACCTCTTACCTTGACCTTGTTAAAAAGAAAAACACAAACAAAACACAAGAGACACACATGTAACCTAGCTGCACGTGGACCCTGAGAGAAACGTGTGGGGGGCCGTGGGGGGACGGGGACGCAGCCAAGCTGTGCCAGCTGCTGCCTGTGGCTGTGAGAAACCCTCAGCTGTTCTGGATTCTGCTGTCGGTTCTAATGCCTGGCTGGGCCGTGCCAGGGCCTACATGAGGTCGCTATCAGTCCAGCATGGCTGGACTGGGTGTCCTAGAGAGGAACAGTTCTGTATCTCCACCCCGTGGGACGCCGGCACCCAGCTGTGTCGCAGGCCAGTGCTTAATTGGTCTTGCTTGCCTCATCCGTTAGGAAAACCGCTTGAGCCCCGGCGCCTCTTTCATTATAATTAAGCCCGGATCCCGTCCCTACAAGCGTCACGGAGACCAACTCCTGACCATTCGCAATGCGGCTCTCACCCACAGGGAAATCCAAGCCTCCCAGCGCCGTGCCAAGCCACCCAGAGAATGCCACTGGTGCCAGGACCCAGAGCTCTGAGCGCTGACTCCATCCCACCTCCGCATCCCGTTTACAAGCCCACAGGCCTCTCCAGAGCGGGGCAAGCACATCAGGTCCCCTCTCAGCCTGCCTGCAACGCCATGGCTGGCTCAGTCAGACCTCAGTAGCTCGTGGGACCTTCTCCTTGTCCCTGCCGGATCAAGGAAAATCCCGGTGTGCATCATCCCCCCCAGGAAGCAATATCACTTGCTCCCGTGTATTTGGTCCACGTTTGACTACAACATCCGGCCCCCACTGGGAAAGACACAGATGGGAATTTCAAAGCCACCTAAGGGATTCGGACAGAATGGGAGCTGAGCCTCTAGATCTCCCAGGTGGGTTTTGGCAACTAGGCTCTACAGATACCACGCACCCCGTGGCAACATTTTTAAGAGTGGGGGGTGTGCTGACATCCCCTCCTTTTCTCTGCCCTGCCCCCTCCCCAGCTGAGGCTGGAAGCAAAGCTCTGGTGTGCAGGGAGCAGCCAGAACCCAGGGTTGGCAGCAGACCCCGCAGCATGCAGGGCCAAAGCAGAGCCCCTGGTGCACAGGGCCAGCGGCCAGGACCCAGAGCCAGAATCAGCCCCCTGGCGCACAGGGCCAGCAGCAGAGCCTGAGTACCTGGGACAGCAGCCGAGCTTTGTAGACATAGCAAAATGAAGCGGCAATTTAAATAATCGCCGCTTCATTTACATCAAAATGGCTGCCACGCTCTGCCGACCAGCTGTTTGGCGGCACAGCGCAGTAGTCTGGACACTCGGCGGTCGACATCAAAAGCCTTTGTCAACCGCCCCGGTAAACCTCATCCCACGAGGCATAACAGGGCGGTCGACAAAGGCTTTTGATGCCAACCACCAAGTGTCCAGACTACCATGCCGTGCCGCCAAACAGCTGATCGGCACAGTGTGGCGGCCATTTTTATGTAAATGAAGTGGCAATTATTTAAATCGTCGCTTCATTTTGCTATGTCTACAAAGCTCATCTACATGGCTCCGTCGATAGAGCCGTGTAGCGTAGACATACCCTTTAAGTCATATGACAGAGGTCTGTGCGGTGAATCTAGAGGTTTCAACCCCATGTGGGTGCCAGTATGAAGTCACAGGGTGGAATTCCTGTTTTTTCCATTTGCTCTTTTAAAAACCTAGGAAATTACAAAAATGATGTGAACCGAGCTTTATTTTGGTTGTAAAACTCTCAAAAGCTAAGAAATGCCAGCATTAAGGTTGCCTGTGTAACCTTAATTCAGCCCCCTTGTGCATATGCATTATGATACAGCCTTTAATGACATGATCACACACTGTTTCTTCCAGTGGACGCCCTGCCTCATTCAGTGCACAGGATGGACATGCTCAGGGTTGTGTAATGAAGACAGCTGGCTGTAGGACCTTTGCCTCATTTGCTGCTGAAGTTGGAAGGTATAGTGGATAAGATAGGGGACAGTAGGCACCAAAAGGATGGTTTAATGAATAAGGCAACTGAATGTTGTCCTGGAGACCTGGAGTTTACCTCTGCCCATGTCACAAAGTTCCTGTACGATGCTGGAAAATCACATAAAACACATGGTCACTAAAGGCACCTTCCTCATTTCCCAGGCATCTGATTCGTGACTCAGGCTTTGCAGAAGCACAGAGCGCTCACAGCTGCATATGAAGGTAATGGGAGCTGTGCGGCGAACATCTCAAGAGCTCGATGCTGTTAAGCACTCTGAGAAGTCCGGTCCTCCGAGCCTCAATGTGGGCACCCAAAAGTCAGGGGCAGTTTCGACCTTCCTATCTGTGTGTCTCAATTCCTGTCTGAAACACAGAGATCACCATGTCTCCTCCCAGGACCGCCGTGCGAATCCGTGCACTGGAATACTGGGTGGAGCATGCAGACCTAGACTGCAGTGAAGTTAGATGTTTAAGTAGCTTGGAGCACGCGGGCCACAGAGAGTCCCGTGTTAAGCACCCTAGAAAATCCAGGAGTAAATGACTTTTCCTGTGTTCACAGCAGGGTGTGCGCTGTGCGCAGATCAGAAAGTCCAGGGCCACATACTGAACAGGGAGAAAACAAAACAGTGACTAGCTGGGAGGACCAGTGGGGAAAGCAGCAAAACTCCAGATTGCCCCATCCCTCCCTGCCCTTAGGATGGGGGTACAGGAAGAGTAGGGGGGTCCCAGGCTGGGGTTGGAGGCACGTGCCCCCCCCTTAGTGGGTGTGCTCTCCCCCTCCCGTATGGGTAAGAACTTTCATTTTCTTGCAATAATACAATACATAACATGCATACAAGTTGTGACGTAGTGGGGGTAACTTGCTAGGGCTGTGGGCGACCTCTGCTGTCTGTAGCAAGACCCAGCAGGGCAGGAGGTGAGTCATTATGCAAAGAGGGCTCCAAACCTGTCTGACCAGCTACCCCCCAGGGAGAGAAACAAAGGAAGGTGGAACGCCGCCCCTGGCTGGGGGGCAGGGCTGAAGGAGAGGTTTTTTTAGTTTCTGTCTGGGATCATGGAGGAGACAGCCTAGGGAAAGGAGCTGGAATTTAGGGGCCCAGTATCCCCCATCTCAAGGGGGGCTGAGGCATCCTAGGCCACTCCTGGAACCAGATTACATCTGTGCTGTGCTGTATCCTGGAGAAGCAATAAACTCCCTCTATACTACTGGAGGGTGGAGTCTGTTCGTGCCATTTCGGGGGGGCAGGGGACGGGAAAACCCCAACGCTCCGTCACACAAGTCTAGCGAGACACGCAGCATGTAGGTCCCATAGAGATGTACTGGAGGATTTCAAAGCGTGTACGCCAGGGGTCTCAAACTCACAGCCCGCAGCCCAACCCCATCCAGAGCAGTTGTGCAATCCCGCCCTGGAGTCCTGGCGGGTGGGGGTGGGGTGGTCTGGTCCCAGTCTGCAAGCCCTGCCCCTTTTTACCATCGCTCCGCCCTCTTCTCCCCGTGGCATGCCACCTCCCACTGCATGTGGCCCCAGGGCGGCCTGGCATGGCGCCGCAGGATCAGCCCTGCCCACTGCTCGCGGCGGCGGGAGCTGCAGGGAAGTGGAGCACCCTTGGTGAACGCACTCATTCCACCAGGAGGTGTGGGGGCACCCAACCACTGCTGCCACGCAGCTCCAGGCCCCCCCAGTAATCCTTAATGCAGCCGTGTACACGTCCCACACGCGTATTGAGATTGGTGTAGGCCAGTGGTCACCAACCAGTCGATCGGGATCTACCGGGAGATCTTGGAGCCTCTGACAGGGGATCCCGACTGGTTTGGCCAAGAGGCTGTCAAGTGCCAGCACGTCAGCTGCCCGTTCCCCCACTGCTGTGCACCTCCTGCCCTTTGCCTTGGAACTGACCCCCACCTATCCCGGGAGCCTCCTGCTTGCTGTGCAAGGCAGGGGAGGGAGAGGAGGGGCACTGATATCAAGGTGCCCCCTCTCCCACTCCGTATCCCATCTCCACAGAGCAGAGAGGAGGCACAATAGGACTGGCAATGGAGGGAATTTGCTGGCTGCTTTTTGGGAGTGGTCCAGGGTCAGGACAGGGGTGAGCCTGCCTTAGCCCCACTGCACCCCCACCCAGGAGTCACCTGAGGTAAGCAGTGCCCAGCTGGAGCCAACATCCCAAATCCCTACCCCAGTCATGAACCTCCTTGTGCACCCCGAATCCTTACCCTAGCCCCGAGCATCCCTGCATCCAAACACTCTCTCAGAGCCTGCACCTAGAACCCCCTCCTGCACCCCAATGGCCTGCCCCAATCCCCCCTCACACGCCAAATCCATTAACCCAAGACCAGAGCCTGCCCCAGCCAGATGAAAGTGAGAGGATGGGGGCGGGAGGGAGGATGGAGTGAGCAGGGGCGGGACCTCGGAGAAGGAGCACAAATGAGGCAGGGCAAGGGTGTTTGGGTACAAGGTAGGTCTTGGATTGCACTTAAATTCAAAAAGTGATCTCGTGCTTAAAAGGGTTGGAGACTCCTGGTGGAAGATGATTTGTAAGGATGTACCCAGAGTACGATAGCCCACAGCCCAACACGGCAATTTAAATGTATTGCCATACTGCGTTTAGAAAGCATAGAATCATAGAACCACAGAACCGGAAGAGACCTCAGGAGGTCATCAAGTCCAGCCCCCTGCTCTAGGCAGGACCAATCCCAACTAAATCAACCCGCAGGGATTGATTTTTCAAAGGTGCGGATCCCTTGCACCTCTCTGTGCCTTTAGGTGCCTAAATATCTTTCCAAATCTGACCTTTCATTTCTCCTTGCCTCATTTTCCCACCTGAACTAGGGGCGTTCCAATTCTGCCTTCTTTGTTTAAGCCCCTGCAAACACTTATCACAGTCCAGCTACACAGATCAGTTTCCCCATATAGACAATCCCTTAGGCACTCGGCTCTCCAAGGCAGCAGGTGTTTCTTACAATGCGTTGGCGCTGCTGAGCCTAGGACAACGGGCCCTGATCTCCGGTGGGTCTTCTGGGGCGTAGAGGACGACA